TTAAAGGACCTTTTACTTTTTACCTTAAATCTTGGTGTGTAGCCTGTCTTTCCATTGTTTTTAAATTCTGTTATTGTTGGTTATATTGAATATATGCCTGAACTTTCCATTTATAAAATGAAGACATTTTTTAAAATATTGCAACACTTATGTATTATGATGAATTGTGAGAAATTGAAATATAAGTTACAGGTCATACTCTCCGACTTTTTCCCATAGAGGTAGCTGGTTGAAGGTATATACACAAGAACAACAGTATATGTTTGGAATTTGAATATTTAAAGTAAAATCAACTACCAGATGAAAAACAAAACTATTTTTGCTTGAAACTTGTCAAACTCGAGGCCCGCGGGCCAATTGTGGCCAGCCACAGCATTTTACATGAACCTCAAAAACTTCAAAGACGTATTAATGTTTCAAAAGGATCGTATGCTGGTTTACAGCCAAAATGACCATAAACTGTATCTCCCACAATGCATGCTGATTATTTTACCCGCAAAATTGCGACATCCCTTCACTAGGTGGAGGTGCACAGGATTCTAGAGTAGATGATAGCTGGCTACTTATGCTGGGCCCAGTTTTACAGAGAAATGGGAACTTCCCACTTACAAGTCGTAAATTTTAACTGGAACACCCCTCCAGTGGGAATTCCCTGTCAGAAAGTGGGAGAGTTCAGAATTCAAGATGGCAGCTACTCACAACACCTCAGTACTCTTACGTTTACTTTTATTAGTATTTCTGTATTATTTGTTTTGTATTAAGTCAGTCGTACACATAGTGCTTTTCAGTGTTTATAACAGGATGTGTTACAGCGTTGTTTCTTTGCAGGAAATACCATGTAGAGCTCAGTTACTTTAGACGAGGAACGTTACATTTCTTGTTTGGTCAAAGTGAAAAATGAAATGTAATGCTCATGTGGCCCCCTGTGAAAATGAGTTCGACACCCTGGCTTAAAATACACATCCCTAACTGTTAGAGACAGTGATGACATTACCAACCTTTTCTGGGCTTCCTGTTTACTGCGACACTGCTCACAGTAATACTTGTGTTCACTGCATAAAGTCTCTGTGTTGCTGAAACCCCTGTTCAATTAAAAAAAAAAACACACATTTACAAGCATTTAAGGAACAGCTCTTCACTGCCCCTCTCAGTGTCAGTGCTTGTTTCAGGTCTGATTGATGAAAGCACCATGTACCTGAGACAGTGTGTGATTGATGTGTTCTGCTCTACATCCACTGACAGATCCAGGAAGTCCTCATCCTTACTGCTCACCTGAAACACATCACACACATACACACAAACAGATTAAGTCTTCAAACAGGCCATTTTCGTCATGCAACTGTGCCAGTGAGAACAGAGGTCTCAATGTCTTGCACTGATCCGTTGTCTCATGTCTTGTTGAAGTATAAACCAGCCTTAAATTAGCCTTTATTTCTGACTTCTTATACAAATAAAAGTCCAGCAATTAAAATAAACAACTTGGTATACAAGTAAACTCAAGTTGTTTCTGAGTCCAAACATTTTTTGTACCAGGCTGTGTTCTTTTAACAAACAGCAGGCGGTTAGCGTAGCTCCAAAGTTCAACTGGAACAACTTACAGCTTCACAGTTGAGGCATCGCGTCTCATTGGTCAGTGTTCCTTGGAAGATCTCGTGAACCCAGGTCTGCTGCGTCTCCTTCCCTCCTTCGCCCTCTCCTCCTCCTCCTCCTCCCTCGCCTCCTCCRCCGCTCCCGTTCTGCACGAGTTTCCCGTTCTGCTGTCGCTCCTGGCTCTTCTCCTCCTGGAGAAGGTCGGCGATGGTGTTGAGGAGGTAGTTGAGGAACTCGTGGGCGTCCTGCTGCATGTAGTTGTCAAACAGCTCTGGGGAGATCAGAAACAGAGACGATGGGTACAAATGGAGAGAAAATAAGAATACCAACATTAAAAAAAATAAAGTTAAAGAAAAACATGCTGCTCGCTTCATGATTTCCTCTCAGCTGATATTCATCTCTCTCCTCGCTTTATCATCTTCTTTCATGTCTCATCATTTACTCCATCAGCATCTCTGTGTGGTTCCGTAGCAACAGGAAGTTCATTTAAATGAGCAACTGATGAAAGACTAATTATCAGCCTTCTAAACCTCTGATTCTTGGCTTGATGTTTTCCCTGAGAGACGACAGGAAGTCCCCATGTCCCGACACGAGGAGCAGCTGCACGTACTTCAACAGACATTCTGCTTTGAAGAATGAGATAAAGATTATTCCCGCAAGCTGAACCCGTACCGTTTTCCTTTCTCAGCCGCGAGATGAACTTCTTGGGCGGGATGACTCCGACTTTCTTCTTCTGCGTGGCGATGCTGTTGAACAGATCGGCCAAGCAAGTGAGGAGAGACTCCTTCCTCCGAGGCTGCACCTRGAGTGATGAACACAACCTATCAGCTTTCTTTTAATTTTGTGGACCAAGTGTCCCCTCCCTCTCTTTATGTCGAGAACTGATGCCAACAGGACCAGTTTATGGGGACTGGTATTCCCTACCTACATTGTGGGAGTTTTTTTTGGCATACACTCCTACTTGTGGGGACCTAAAGTTACTTATGGGGACCCAAGTCTAGTCCCCATAACGGAAATGCCGTTGGTGGGTCAGGGGTTAAGTTTAGGACCAAGGTGTGMATTGAGTTTAGGTTAATTTTAGATCTGGTTGATTTTAGGGTAAATGGTCAGAGTTAGGCTATAAAACATCCGAAAAATGAATAAACGCCAATGCTTGGTCCCCACGGGGATATACAAACCAGACCTTTGTGTATGTGGGGACGGGTTTTTCCTACAACGTGGGGACCAAAGTGAATCGTGGGGACCACTGCCAGGTCACCATGGGTCCAAATGCATGTTACGAGTGTGGGGTTAGATTTAGGATAGTTTTAGGGTCAGGTAAGTCCCTGTGAGGTTAATTTTGGAGTATATGGTCAGGGTTAGGCTATAAAGTCTAAAAAACATGAATGTAAGTCAATGGAAGGTCCCTACTGGGTCGAGAAACAAACGTGTGTGTGTGTGTGTGTGTCTGTGTGTTAAAACATGCTAAAAGAAAAGTTTAGCTCCAGTAACTTTTAGTAAAGCTATGGTCCGATACAGACATTACTAACAGACGTTTTAATGGATTCCCAGTCATCCAGRACATGGAAAATCAAAATGAAAAAGATGAAGCAACTGGACTTCTGTTCTGTAGCTAAATATGCAGAGCTACAAGATTTCAACTGCATGACTCGAGTTTAGTACCATTATTACATGGACTGATCCGCTCACCCCCACCTTACTGAAGTAAAAGTCTGATGAAATGCGACTCGAGCGTTCAGACTGCAGTCGCTTTGAAAAACATCCAATATGTATCTGATTTAGTACCAGGTTCTACATTAAAAAATGTGTTTTTATAATTAAATGTTTAAGTTCTCACTTAGTAAGTACTCTGTATCGGTAAGCATCCAAACTGAAGTACTTGTACTTGGCTTGAGAAAAACTGGTATCAGGACATCCCTAATAATAATTAAATTATTAGTATTATTATCATCGTCATATAAATATGTTTTTTTTATAAATAAGGGCCAAAGCCTTGTTTGTTTATGTGGAATGGGCGGGACTTAAAACTTGCACCAACCAATAAGGACACTATACTTCTTCTGGCTTTAATTTCCTGTATGGGGTTTAATAATATGTGGTTAATATGGAGTTTAGTACATGTGTTATTAGGCCTGTCGCGATAGTCAATAAATCAATTAATCGCACGATAACTTTTTTTGAGGTCGGT